TAACATATCTCATCCCAATCACTTTAATATACAGACTGTAATATACAGTAACATATCTCATCCCAATCACTTTAATATACAGACTGTAATATACAGTAACATATCTCATCCCAATCACTTTAATATACAGACTGTAATATACAGTAACATATCTCATCCCAATCACTTTAATATACAGACTGTAATATACAGTAACATATCTCATCCCAATCACTTTAATATACAGACTGTAATATACAGTAACATATCTCATCCCAATCACTTTAATATACAGACTGTAATATACAGTAACATATCTCATCCCAATCACTTTAATATACAGACTGTAATATACAGTAACATATCTCATCCCAATCACTTTAATATACAGACTGTAATATACAGTAACATATCTCATCCCAATCACTTTAATATACAGACTGTAATATACAGTAACATATCTCATCCCAATCACTTTAATATACAGACTGTAATATACAGTAACATATCTCATCCCAATCACTTTAATATACAGACTGTAATATACAGTAACATATCTCATCCCAATCACTTTACTTTCATTTCAGCCTTAAAAAATCAGCCAATTAAAAGGAAGAAAGAAAGAAAGAATTTTATTTTACAAGGATAATAAACTAGTTTTTCAAGAATTCTTTCTACCATCTTAGATCTTATACAGACCCATTTAGAGCGAGCTTGACTGGTAAAATGACTTATTCACCAGACTTTCACACATCAACTGAGATTAGAACCCACCACTATCATTTGTTAGAAATAGCAAGCAAATAATGTCATATTCACTGCTCTTTCTGACTGTGTTAATTCATAAGAAATTTCAAAATGCTGTCTTACCACGAGATCTTCCCCATCAGTTGGTCCGGCAGCCTGGATAGCTTTATCATAAACTAAACGTGGATGATTACAGAGTTGTTTTAATGCAGCAATACAGATGAGATGAGGTGCTCCGTCCATACAACCTAATAAACACTGTCGTATTGAACGACTCTTTAAAAACTGATGATAAATCTCCAGTTGAAACTGACTTGGTTTACAAAATAATACCAATTCAACTGAAATAGAAAATACTAAAATAATATATAATGAAATCACGATTCCGTTTAAACAGTATCACTCAATTTGATTGGATAACAGAGGTCACATGTATTCGTTTATATCTGTGTAAACAGAATGTAAAATTAGGCTCCGCCCCTTAACGGACTACTTTCATCAGTGCTTTAAACAGTGTACACATGTTTATTCTGTTTATACATCAATAAACTGAAAAAATGTTCAGATCATTCCTTAATAAATATCAATAGTTATATACGAATGTCATCATGACTGATAAATATTATAACTTGTAGAAAAAACACATAATAAAACATAGAGGTCTGCATTTTAAACAATCTAGATATTTTCTCAGTCAAAAATGGAATTAGGCTAAAAGTGATTGTGAAGAGGTTTTTCTTGACTGTTTATGTATATAATGCCTTCAGACGTCTGATTGAAAATGAAATGGTGCAACTTGATGCTATCATTGTCTCTGGTTTATAAAATCTCTATAAAATCTCTCTCAGTTTGTAAGATAAAACAAACCTTTAGGAGGTAGATATTGGTTGTTAATTTCTTGAGTTCTTCTTAAAATAAACATGGAAGTTAATCGTGATAACTCCGCCCCTCTTTCTTCACCTAGATTTACAACTTCTCGACTTGATCCAGGCTGACGAGACGCTACAATAGGATCTTCATACACACGACGAAACGCTGAACTTGTTCCTAAATATAATATAAACTATAATAATTATAATATATCATCCAATAACCTTCCTTCAGACTGACGAGATGCTACGATAGAATATATTCATACACACGACGAAACGCTGAACTTGTTCCTAAAGAGAATGTAAACTATAATAATTATAATATATCATCCAATAACCTTCCTTCAGACTGACGAGACGCTACAATAGGATCTTCATGCACACGACGAAACGCTGAACTTGTTCCTAAATATAATATAAACTATAATAATTATAATATATCATCCAATAACCTTCCTTCAGACTGACGAGACGCTACAATAGGATCTTCATACACACGACGAAACGCTGAACTTGTTCCTAAATATAATATAAACTATAATAATTATAATATATCATCCAATAACCTTCCTTCAGACTGACGAGATGCTACGATAGAATATATTCATACACACGACGAAACGCTGAACTTGTTCCTAAATATAATATAAACTATAATAATTATAATATATCATCCAATAACCTTCCTTCAGACTGACGAGACGCTACAATAGGATCTTCATACACACGACGAAACGCTGAACTTGTTCCTAAAGAGAATGTAAATATGAAATAACCAGCTAGCTTTTAGACTTTGGCTTTTAAGATTTTTAAATTGGATCAACTAAATATAGTTATTTTAATAATATATTGTTATAAAATTTTGAATTGCTATATTGGATATAGATTAATTTAATTACTATTCTCTACATACTGTATAAGATTTAATCTACATGTTATTTTATCAGGTTATATTTGGATTCCATACTTTACAATCATTACAGTAATTTGTTTTTAATAATTTGTCTAATCTTACCTAGAATATTGGGATTGCAGAATTCAACAATAGAGAAAAATTCCTGTAAATCATTCTGTACAGGAGTACCAGTTAAAACAATTCTCTTTCTTGTTCCTAAACTCATAATCAACTGAAAGACAAAAATTTTAAAAATAAGAAAGATGTTTATCTGAAATTGATGTGATTTCTTGGGCCTGGGATTTAAAAAATCTCATTGAATCTGTCACTAACGTTTTGATTGAAACTTTAACAATCATTAAAAATCTCATTGAATCTGTCACTAACGTTTTGATTGAAACTTTAACAATCATTAAAAATCTCATTGAATCTGTCACTAACGTTTTGATTAAAACTTTAACAATCATTAAAAATCTCATTGAATCTGTCACTAACGTTTTGATTGAAACTTTAACAATCATTAAAAATCTCATTGAATCTGTCACTAACGTTTGATTGAAACTTTAACAATCATTAAAAATCTCATTGAATCTGTCACTAACGTTTGATTGAAACTTTAACAATCATTAAAAATCTCATTGAATCTGTCACTAACGTTTTGATTGAAACTTTAACAATCATTAAAAATCTCATTGAATCTGTCACTAACGTTTTGATTGAAACTTTAACAATCATTAAAAATCTCATTGAATCTTTCACTAACGTTTTGATTAAAACTTTAACAATCATTAAAAATCTCATTGAATCTGTCACTAACGTTTTGATTAAAACTTTAACAATCATTAAAAATCTCATTGAATCTGTCACTAATGTTTTGATTGAAACTTTAACAATCATTAAAAATCTCATTGAATCTGTCACTAACGTTTTGATTAAAACTTTAACAATCATTAAAAATCTCATTGAATCTGTCACTAACGTTTTGATTAAAACTTTAACAATCATTAAAAATCTCATTGAATCTGTCACTAATGTTTTGATTGAATCATTAAAAATCTCATTGAATCTGTCACTAACGTTTTGATTGAAACTTTAACAATCATTAAAAATCTCATTGAATCTGTCACTAACGTTTGATTGAAACTTTAACAATCATTAAAAATCTCATTGAATCTGTCACTAACGTTTTGATTGAAACTTTAACAATCATTAAAAATCTCATTGAATCTGTCACTAACGTTTGATTGAAACTTTAACAATCATTAAAAATCTCATTGAATCTGTCACTAACGTTTGATTGAAACTTTAACAATCATTAAAAATCTCATTGAATCTGTCACTAATGTTTGATTGTAAACAAAAGTTAAAAAAAGAAAATTCTACATAAACTAAATATAAAATACTTACAGAAGTAGTTTTAATGGCAGTATTCTTTAATCGATGTCCCTCGTCACAAATTACAATATCAAAATTCTCTCCCTTGATTAGATCATACGTTTGTACAAACATTTCGTAGGATACGATTAATACTGGATAGATATTGGACGATTTATATTCCTGTAAAAAACAGTTATAATAACAGTGAGCCAACCTAGAGGGTGTAAATAGTTGAGATGCGATTAATACTGGATAGATATTGGACGATTTATATTCCTGTAAAAAACAGTTATAATAACAATGAGCCAACCTAGAGGGTGTAAATAGTTGAGATGTGATTAATACTGGATAGATATTGGACGATTTATATTCCTGTAAAAAACAGTTATAATAACAGTGAGCCAACCTAGAGGTTGTAAATAGTTGAGATGTGATTAATACTGGAAACACATTGGACGATTTATATTCCTGTAAAAAACAGTTATAATAACAGTGAGCCAACCTAGAGGGTGTAAATAGTTGAGATGTGATTAATACTGGATAGATATTGGACGATTTATATTCCTGTAAAAAACAGTTATAATAACAGTGAGCCAACCTAGAGGGTGTAAATAGTTGAGATGTGATTAATACTGGATAGATATTGGACGATTTATATTCCTGTAAAAAACAGTTATAATAACAGTGAGCCAACCTAGAGGGTGTAAATAGTTGAGATGTGATTAATACTGGATAGATATTGGACGATTTATATTCCTGTAAAAACAGTTATAATAACAATGAGCCAACCTAGAGGGTGTAAATAGTTGAGATGTGATTAATACTGGATAGATATTGGACGATTTATACTCCTGTAAAAAACAGTTATAATAACAGTGAGCCAACCTAGAGGGTGTAAATAGTTGAGATGTGATTAATACTGGAAAAACATTGGACGATTTATATTCCTGAAAAAAAAACAAGCCATCCTGGAAGGTGTAAAGGATATTAGAAATGATGGGAGTCAGCCAATTGTAATAAACAAGTAAAGAGATTGTTAAGATGTTTTCTTAACATTATTTATGTATTTGGGACATTTATAGCATCACTTTGCACCATTCCAATTTTCAATCAGACCTCTGTGGTTCATACATTCTACTAATGATTCAAAGGATTTTATGTGTATTTGGGACACTGATAGCTTCAAATTCCACCATTTCAAATTTCATTCAGACGTCTGTCATTCTTGTAACTTCACTAACTTCATTCAAAACACCTGGTTTCTCACAAAATTTGTTATTATTTTGGAATTAATCATGAATCATATTGATTCAGGATTTTTGTTTACCTGAACTTTCTGGTTTGCTGAAACTGCAAAAATATTCAACCTTTCTTTACCTAGCCATTTCTTAAACTCAGCGTACCAGTTCTACAAAATATTTATAAAACATTTACTGAAGTTTCGAGACATAGATGTGTGTCATCCACAGATGTAAAATCTTTTAGAATGATTCCCTGTCATCCAGTCAAACTGTTCAGGATAATGATGGATGAAATTAGTCCTGTGTAGTGTGCAATAAGGTAAATTTGACAGGACATCTCTGAAGAACACGGGGTTGTCAATATTCCAGGCAATATTTTATTGTTAAAGAATATTATAAATATAGATATACAGCCAGTAGCAAACAGAGTCTTCTTCAAACCCAATCTAAATTCCTTACAATTTCTTTCTTCTCAGTCTCGTAGCCCTGCCATATTCTACTTGGAATCTGAGAATCAAGACCAGACCTCCTCTATTACTTACCTTAACTAAACTACCTGGTGTTATAACCAGAGCTTTTTTAATAACAGGTTTACCTCCATATGGACCTTGTTTTAATAACGTCCTAAAAAATATTACAATTCTTAAAATATTTAACCCTTTCAACCCTAGCGGCCAGTTTATGGGTCACTAACGCAATATATACCCGGGTATACCGAGCATTACTAAGTGATGTCATACAACATTAACGTCATACACTTTTACTTTTACTACTTGGAGTTCAGGGTATATGATGTTATATTTCATTACACTCAGGATTTAAAGGGTTAAAGGTATATGATGTTATATTTTATTACACTCAGGATTTAAAGGGTTAAAGGTATATGATGTTATATTTTATTACACTCAGGATTTAAAGGGTTAAAGGTATATGATGTTATATTTTATTACACTCAGTGTTTAATGGGTTAAAGATGTTATATTTTATTACACTCAGTGTTTAATGGGTTAAAGGTATATGATGTTATATTTTATTACACTCAGTGTTTAAAGGGTTAAAGGTATATGATGTTATATTTTATTACACTCAGGATTTAAAGGGTTAAAGGTATATGATGTTATATTTTATTACACTCAGTGTTTAATGGGTTAAAGATGTTATATTTTATTACACTCAGTGTTTAATGGGTTAAAGGTATATGATGTTATATTTTATTACACTCAGTGTTTAAAGGGTTAAAGGTATATGATGTTATATTTCATTACACTCAGTGTTTAAAGGGTTAAAGGTATATGATGTTATATTTTATTACACTCAGTGTTTAATGGGTTAAAGGTATATGATGTTATATTTTATTACACTCAGTGTTTAATGGGTTAAAGGTATATGATGTTATATTTCATTACACTCAGTGTTTAATGGGTTAAAGGTATATGATGTTATATTTTATTACACTCAGTGTTTAATGGGTTAAAGGTATATGATGTTATATTTTATTACACTCAGTGTTTAAAGGGTTAAAGGTATATGATGTTATATTTTATTACACTCAGTGTTTAAAGGGTTAAAGGTATATGATGTTATATTTCATTACACTCAGTGTTTAAAGGGTTAAAGGTATATGGTGTTATATTTCATTACACTCAGTGTTTAAAGGGTTAAAGGTATATGACGTTATATTTCATTACACTCAGTGTTTAATGGGTTAAAGATAAAAAAATGGCAGCAACTAGTTCATGGATATACTGATGGTAAAACTTTATCGTATAAGAGTTTTGCTGATTGAACCTAGACAATTAATTTTCAGAATTAGAATCGGGTATCTGGTAACTTTTATTGTCAAACATTATGTTTATCATAATAGACCTTCTCCTTATAATCAATATTAGATTTCATAGGTACCTAAATATCTCAGATTATCAACAACTGTTTAATCTTTACTACCCGGTACCTAAATATCTCAGATTATCAACAACTGTTCAATCTTTACTACCCAGTACCTAAATATCTCAGATTATCAACAACTGTTTAATCTTTACTACCCGGTACCTAAATATCTCAGATTATCAACAACTGTTCAATCTTTACTACCCGGTACCTAAATATCTCAGATTATCAACAACTGTTCAATCTTTACTACCCGGTACCTAAATATCTCAGATTATCAACAACTGTTCAATCTTTACTTACCATAATAATGTAATACATTGTAGAGTTTTACCCAGCCCCATATCATCTCTATAATATAGAATATATACATAGCTTTATAGAACAACAATCACTGGTTAATGGTTAGTGTTTCCCGCATCCTCATCACATAATATTAATAATATAGAAATGAGGTAACATGACATGCATGAACCTAAGTAGTTTTCTTTCTTTCTTGAAATCAGTTCAATACTCTGAATAATTCAAGATGAAGTAATATTTATATTCGTGAATCTCTTTGTATCAGGTGTAAAATGAATGGAGTTTGGAGTTTTGACCAGTTCTGTTTGAAGACATCCAAAGCGAGGTACGATCGTATTGCTAGATATATTTTGAGGTGAGAAGTAACGCTGTACAACATGTTAATTAAAACTTACGCTAGAATAGCTCCAAAACCATAATAATCTTTAAATCCCATGATGCATTGGTACAGGAAGAGAATACCATCGCGCTGATGAGGTCGAAGGTTACAGGTCAAATAGGGGTCAACTACAACATCAACTATTGGCAGATTCTGAAGATTGTTTTTTAACTAAAATGGAAAATAAAATTAACATCAATTATAGATTGAAAAAACTTCTTAAAGAGACAGATTCACCATTCATTTCACCAATCGTACTCCAGTCTCAGAAACGGGAATTTTTAGCTAAGTTAATCAGTAATAGTGTTGACAGCTCACCGTCTAAATTTGAACCAGAATTATCTTCGTTTGAAAGTTTCTTCAGACACTGCCATATAAAAAAATGACATTGATAGAAATATAAAGCAAAAATCCTTGTTTGAGGTATATTTGCAGGAATTATGCGACAAATCGACCCCCGGAAAATGGCGATTCATGGCCTTTTAGCTCATGTGCACTTAATATTTTTCCAAATAATACCTGATGTTCT